GCAGCTCACTTGTGTGCCCATACAAGCGAAAGTTTCCCTTCACGCGCATCGGCGCCGCTGGAGGTTGGATGGCCAGGACGTGCCGGCAGCGGGCCTCCGGATCTGGGCACCACGATGGAGGACGCCGGCTACGAGGGCACCACTTGCGCGGAGAATGGGATCGAAGGGGAGGAGTATGTCGTCGCCAAGGCAGTCGTGGAAGGGTACCTGCCGCCGCCAATGATCGTGGGGATCTCGCTGCCCCCGCCGAGGACACATCGCTGGTCGAATTTAAGGACGCTGCCGCTGCAGCGGTGACGGCAGTAGCGGAGGACAAGGCCGCGGCACCGGCGAACGCGCCGGCCAAGGTGAGTTTTCTGCCTTCTGGGCTCCTAGCCAACCTGCACGATGCCGGACGACCTCGCCAACCTGCCGCTGCCGCGACGCAGCACCTCCGTTCCTCGGCCTGGACCAGCACACGCCGCCGTCGTCGGACGGGCCACTACCAGACGCGACGCCTGTGACCCCTACGCCTCTGCTCTGCTGCCTCGACGCCGCAAGGGCCGTGCGCTCCACTCTGGCACTGGCTTGATCTACAGCTGCTCATCACCCATCGGTCCCCGGCAGTCCCCATGCCGCTGCCGTCGACTGCGTGTCCTGGGCCGCGGCGCCCCTACAGGCCCTGGCTTCAATTCACCTCCAAGGTGTGACCAGGGCCCGCCGGACTGGGATTGGCGAGTTGCGACACCACTGACGTCTCCCGTGCCGGGCAACCCTCCAGGCCCAAGGTGAGTTTCCGTCGTTTTTCCCTCTCTCCCTCAGATCTGAATAGAGAGGCCCCCTATTAGTTAGTTCCTTGAAAAGCTAAGCTGACATTTTTTATTAAATTAAATAGCTAATTGCTGATAGTTTCTAAAGATATATGCTGTAATTTAGTACATGAGATAACCTGTAAATTTAGAATGGCCGTGCATACTACTGGCATTTTAGACCTGGATATTCAGTTTCAATTATTGTGCATTTGGTTTCCATTGACCATGCAGCGCACCCAGCTAATAACTATGCTGATTATCTTGAAGGTATTAGAAACTAAGAAATTTGGTTAGCATGAAATGCATGTGTCATACTATACTGTAGTAAAAGGAGCTTGTGTCGTGCTTTAAATTTTAGATCATAAATTCACTCAAGTAGTGCTGAGTGCTTACCAAAAGAAAACCAACTTTTACGTGTAATTTTTAGAACAAACTGAAAAGTTTTTAACCAAATTGACTATGGTTAATCGAAACAAAAATAGAAAACTTTCAATAACCTCACCTCCCTAAATCATTGCCTTATTAATTGATCTTGACCAGGACTACTTTGCTTCGATTTCCTGAAGCAGTACTTTGCAATAATCCATAAATCCATGTTCAGGGCCAATTATTTAGAAGGCATTTCAGTTTATAATTATGTAAATGCAGAGCGCAAGAAAATAGTCAATGGTTTTGAGGAACTTTAATTTTTGGGACCAATTATAGTTCGGTTGAAATTTTTGGGACCAATTATAGTTCAGTTTGAAGGGTGGGCCTGGTGCAAGCGGTAGAGTCTTACCGTCTGTGATCGGAAGGTCACGGGTTCGAGTCACGGTCTCCTCGCATTGCACAGGCTAGAGTAAGGCTTGCCACTGACACCCTTCCCCAGACCCCGCACGGTGCGGGAGCTCTCTGCACTATATACGTCCAATAGTAAAAGATAACTTTACCACCGGTTACAATTTGGTAAAAGATAGGAGGATACCGATTTTAGTTTGATTCAAAACTCACCTCAAAATAAAAGTTTGTTGTAGCTTGATCTGATTTCATGGATGATATAGATTGTTCTGTGGCGTAGTTTATTAGAAAACGTGAAAATATTTGAGCTATTATTGGACATCAGCACCCAAAGCTAGCAGCTGCACACTTATAGCGACTTACTGTTTTTTTAGTGATCTAACAGAGCTTTTAGCTGGCAGTAGGTCACCATTCTTCCACTTTCTTCTTAGCTATTTGCCATGCATCACGAGCTGGCTATTTGCCATGCTTCTTGGTTGTTTGGCTATCCAGCACAAATGAATACTGAAGTCTATAGTCTATACTTACTCATTCAAACTTCTTCTCTGGAGGTCTCTTAACGAGAATATCTAGGTGGAAGAAAGGAAGTCGAGTAGGGAATATCCATGCTTGAGAATTTGTTATTCATTACTGCATTCCATTGCCGACAACTTTAACATGTGTATTGCTGCAGACATGCTACCTTCGTCAAAGAGAAAGGACTAAAACATCAGTCCACATAGCCCACCACAAATACCTTATCTGAACTTTTTCCTCAAATCAAATCAATCAATTGTTCATTCCTTTTACCTGAACACTGTCATTATTTTATCTGAACTGAATCAGTACCTTGCAAATAAAAGATATCTGCAGACTTGAATGTGTAGTAGACTTGATTAAAGATATCTGCAGTTTCATATTTTTGTAGCACCAAATCTAGGTTGGAGAAATTTTTTAGACATGCAGCAACGACTTTGATTATGGTGTAGTTACCTTGCTTCCACATGCTCCTGTTTAAGTTAGCTTTGACCATGGCTATGTGTTCTAAAATTCCCGATAATGAAAATAGAAGTAGTTGACACGAGGGCTGCAATTTATATAGCCTAATCAAGTGAAGAACCTGAAGAGCCCTGAAATAAGAAAAATCAGGAAATTCCTCACACATGATACAACCAACTAGATGGAGCTCGGTCAAGTATTGCTGAAACAAACTAAGATCTTTCACCCATGTTGGTACCTTGCTGCCTCTGTAGTTTACTATCCTTAACATCTCTAGCCCACCAGGAGGTCCACAAATCAACAATCAGAAATTCCATCAAAGTTTGAATGAGTTTAGAGGTGAATAGAATGTTTTTTAAACTCTTTTTAGACCTGAATCAGTGTTTTCTAATCATTTGTATACCATAAGTAGTCTATGTTATCCCTTGGTTCAGTAATAAATTGCAAAAGTTATCAATATAATTTATTTTGATTTAGTTAAATTTGTATTGATGATCTATTCTGCAAGTATTGTCGGGATAAATATATCTATGTTTATTCAGAATGAGCTTTGTTTACTTGTAGAATTAAGTCAACTAGGTACAAATACAGATACTAAATAATTTTCTGCACCTCCGGTGTTTGGAGCTGATACAAGTATGCCATCAACTCCATCTCAGCCATAGCAAAGGTGATTCATCTCTTCTCATGCGCTTAGTTTATTTGTAGAATTAAGTCCATTGCACAAGTGTAGATACTAAATAATTTTATGCCAGAACCAGAGTCAGGACCTAATACAAGTATGCTGACAACTCCATCTCATCACTAGCAAAGGGGATTCATCTATTCTCATGTCTTGTGGTTACTAGCTCGCTATTTATAATGAACGTAACACTATCTTGCAGTTGTTAAAGAAAAAATGATTTGGTTGCAATCATGAGAACGCATTGATACTTTGATTAATATATGATATGTATATGATTAGCTTATTGGTCATAAGTGGTCGCGGTTCAGCTCTTTACAAATCTTTGATTTGCATGATAGCACCTAAGAGCAATTTAGAACTGATTTACTATACATGCTGGGTACTTGACTGCTGATGAGGATATTTTGAAATGTTAAATCACTAGGATACCTTTACAACCCACATTATAAATAGGGTGCGTTTGTTTTTTTTTGCAATCTTTTGTATGAAATGATATGTTTTAAAAAAAAATATACAACCTACAAATCCACCGGGGAGGATGAAAATAGTTACTGGCATTCTGATTTCAATGTCTGTTCTATGCAGGTTCTTCTCTTCTTTGTCTCATGCTGCATCTCTTGTACGGCATTAGCATTAGGTGACCAGCACTTACAGTGATTTTTGAAGCAGTCAATCCGATTCCGATGATTAGGGCCCTGTTCGCTTCTCTTTTAATCCGTCTTTTTCAGCTTGTTTTTTCAGGCGGAACAGCGTTTTTTTCTCACAACAAGTTAGCCGGAACAGTGTTTTTGCTTGTTTTTTTCAGCAAAGCGAACGGGGCCTAGGTGATGTCGTCGTGCACTGTTTCATAGATATCCCATAATTTTCATAAGTCTGTTTATGGTACTATGCATGACCTGAGTTTGTCCTCTTCAAACTAAGCTGCTGCTATTTATACCCAAAAAATTAGTACTGATTACTTATAGTATAGATTAGACATGACTGAAATGATAGTTTGATCGATGTTCTGATTTTTTTTTGTTCATTCATGAATTATTATCATGCATGGTCAAACGTTGTTACTTAATGGGACGTGTCTTTGCAACTCTGTGAGCCCTACTGATGTGCTAATGTATACATATAATATTGAGATTTTGCAAGCCATTTTTAAACAAGCAACGTTATTAACTTATTATCCCTTTACTTTTATGTATGCAGAGTTACAGCTACCACCGCTACTGCTCTTGGAAATCAGATTATCATGCACAAGTACTGTCTGCACGCCTGTTTGTATGCAATCTCTGTGTCTCACAATCACAAGCGGGTCTCTTAAGGCTCTATTTTTCTTGGTACTTTACGCTGGTGTATAGTTTCATTTGTTGTAGCCTGTAGGCATAAAAAAAAAATCAGAGTTAAGATAAATCAGTAGAGTTGTTGAGCTTGCGATGCCACGCTCTGTGTTAATTTCATAAATTTTATTTTTTAAATTAAATATTACTTTAATGATGATATTTAATTTTACAGTATCATTATCTTGTCGGACGATCCTTACGTTTTTATTATAAAAATTTAATTCTTCCCTGGCAACACGGGCAGTTACCGGTCCCGTGATAGTTCTGAAATTGTTCCAGAACGGTACCGGCGCTTCGCCTCCCACAAGCCCCAACTTGCGGGGATCAGGAACAAAATCAACGCTACTACTCCCCTTTCCTCCCAACTTCCGCCCGCCGGTGCCAGCCTTGATCCCCCCAACCGACCAATCCAAGCAGACCCACGCGTCAGGCGCCGCCATGGCCACGTGGCGCCTCCGCCGCGCCGGCGCCGCCCTAGCTGCCTCCTCCGCCCTCGCCGCCGCTCTCGCCGCCTCATCCGCGTCCGCCTCCGACCCCTCCGCCGCCGCCCTCGACGCAGCAAGGCAGCGCGTTGCGCAGCCGGGGGCCGCGCCGCCCCCGAGAGACGCGCAGCGTGCGGCGCTGGCAGGGTCCACCCCCGCTGAGCCCCTAGACGTGCTCGTCGTTGGCGGTGGCGCCACCGGATGCGGCGTCGCACTCGATGCCGCTACCCGCGGGCTCCGGGTAGGCCTCGTGGAGCGCGAGGACTTCTCTTCTGGAACCTCCTCCCGATCCACCAAACTCATCCATGGCGGTGCGTGGCCTTCTCCAAACCCTGGGACTTACGGAATCCCCTTTTTTGTGCTTTTCCCAAAATTTGGCTCCTACGAATCCTTTGTTAGAACACCACGGTCAGCAGTCTGACCAAGAGTGAAAGAACCATTCTGTAGCAGTTTGGTGAACTAATGTGGCCCTATTTGATGCTTGGTATGTTAGGGTTGGTAGTGCGATGCACTATCTTAATAGCATACATAATTATTTTCTGGCTACATTAGCAAGTGGATCTGTTGAATTTGTGTTGGAAATAGTTGTTCTACGATGGTACTGCATTTCTTTGTTAGTGGAAGTGTGGAACAATACTTGCTCTATCAAGCCTTGGCTTTGTTTGAGCAATGCAAATTTATTTCTAATATGTTTATGCCAGTCTAGGAACCTGTATTGTGATACTGACCGTTCCTGACTGATACTATTTGTCAACCTGTTGATAAAATATTTACTGTCCAATACACTATCCCTGCTACATTCAAAACATGAGGCATATCTTGCATCTAACATTCTCTAACTGTGTTTTATTTTACTTGTACATAAAGAGACATATGAGGTGAAAACATAAAAGATCCTCATAAAGATTCAGTAGACAATCCTGGATATTGAATTATGCTCGAAAATTTTAAGGATAATTTCAAAATGAGCTAGGAGAACAGAAAATGAACTTACCATTGCATTTAAAAAAAAAAACTTGACAGGGAGGAGCAGACCGCACCCCTGCTTTTTAGTTAAGAGGATGCAGGGCTCGAACCTGGGTCTCTGGACTGAGAGCGAGCCCCAGTAACCAGTCGCCCATGAGAGCATCTGCAACTTACCATTGCATTTTATAAGAATGTTTCCTAAGGTTCTTATTACTCAACTTTGTTGGGACTTTTTCATGTCGATTTGATGGTCAAACCAAAACCTTTTCCAAGGTTCCTAAAATTAGTTGGTTTTCACTTGATATACCATGCCAACTATGTCTAATTTGCTGTTAACTTTGACCCAACGAAAATATAAGGTTAATCTTCTCCCTGTTGCTGTGAAAATGTCTTGCTCTTGTGTTCCCTCTTACTGAATACTGATGCAATAAATTTATTCAGCTTTCTGCCATAGTAACATCATTTGCAGATAGATGGCTAGCTTGAAACAAATGCATGGATGAACATATTATTATAAAGATTGGGTAAAACTTTTGTAATTTAAAAAAAATACTTTGTGACACAGAAAAGGCTTAATTACGAACAAGAAATACCTGCTCCAGTTTTTTGTGCCTTTTTGGGATTGAAAACTTAATTTATCGTTGTCCCTTATTATATTGCATTCAATTTGTACAGGTGTGCGCTACTTGGAGAAGGCAGTGTTCAATCTTGATTACGGGCAGCTGAAACTTGTTTTTCATGCACTTAAGGAACGCAAGCAAGTTATTGAGAATGCTCCCCATTTGTGCCATGCTTTGCCATGCATGACTCCTTGCTTTAACTGGTTTGAGGTTGTATACTACTGGTTTGGTTTGAAGTTTTATGATCTTGTTGCTGGAAGAAGGCTACTACATTTGTCACGATATTATTCTGTAGATGAATCAGTTGAGCTTTTCCCAACCCTTGCAAAAAATGTCCATGATCGTAGCCTAAGAGGAACAGTTGTGTACTATGATGGTCAAATGAATGACTCTCGGCTGAATGTGGGGTTGGCATGCACTGCTGCAGTTGTTGGTGCAGCTGTTCTCAATTATGCTGAAGTGGTCTCCCTCATTAAGGACGGATCGGGAGAGAGAATCATTGGTGCACGCATTCGTGACACACTATCAGGTAGAATAAAGTATGTCCTATCTCTACCTGCTATATGAAATAACCATCTCAGAGAGTGGTTCAAGTTATCTGTTTTCTTTGATAGTTATGTGTATCTTTCCTCCATACTTAACTGATGAATACAAACAGTCTTTCTAGTTTCTAATGCCATTGTTTATATATTGGTATTTCTGAATGCTTCTGCAGTTTCTGTTCTTGTTCAGAATTTGATTTTGGTTGAGTATTTGTGCTATTCATTCTGAGTTATGGATGGAGGCATTTAATTTAAGAACAAACTTTAGAGCTGTGAAACTTCTGGCTTCTATGGTCACTTAATGTTTTTTACCATCATATAGCACTGTTGAGTTTTTATTCTTATAGAGTTTGACTTAGGGTTATTAAATGACCAGTTTAGTAGCTTTCTCCAACTGTTTTAGGAGGAGTTGGCTGACAAATCTGTTGTACATAATTTACGAAAACTTAAATTACATGTTGTGTTACTATTTTTTTTGAAAGTAAATGTTGGGTTACTATTTTAACAATACATAGTTCTGATCTCTGAAGAGATTCTTGCACCTTAAGATGTCTATATGAAGTTACTTTAATTATGATGTTTAAAAGTAATGCATTTTCTTTTGAGATGAGTTATTGCTTTAGTTAATTTCTTTCTTTGTTGATGTTAGCATTATTAATATTTAACAGAAATTTGAAACAAAGAATCACTTTGTGCTTTCTATTGTAAGGAATTTTTTTTGGTAAACAATTGAAACTGTGGATAATAATCCACCTCCCTCCGGGAATGGAAACTTCAGACGAAAACTCCGTTCGCCTATTGATCTTGCTCTTCTGCTTATCTTTGTTTTAAGCTTTTAGATTAGATGCTGGCTTTCCAAGATCCATTAGCCTAATTTACTATTCAGTTCATTGTTAGGTGCCTCAAATCATTAAACATAAACAGTCCTACATCCTTAATCTATTGCTAGTTGCTAACTCTAACAAGAATACAATATGTGCGAACGGGCCTCTAGCTGAGTTGGTTAGGTGGCTATAGTAGCTCCTTAGTTCCTGGGTTCGACTCCGAGCAAATTTCATGCTGCGGTTAAAAAAAATCCCCTGTCCCATGCCAAAGCACATGTCTAAGGCCCGCCCATGGTCATGGTTGTTCTTACATGGGCTATGTTGCCACTGTGTATGGGTGGGGCGGAGGTCGGGGGCTTTCTCGACCTGCATGAGAAGGTCTTCTTCTTAATGCAATGCCCAGGGGCTGTCCTAACCCCCACAGGTCAATTTTTTAAGAATACAATATGTTCTGAAAAATTAAGATGCTGATATTTTTCCCTAAAAATATGTTGTTTTTATTAAACAAGTATGGATGTGTATTTCACACTTCTATATATTTTGCGCTTTTCATTTAGTTGGAAGATAATTCTGCAATATGCTAACATCTTGACGGTAATCATTTATATCTGCGGATGATGGCCGCTACATGGCAAAAGGAGTAAAGGACTGATGTGGCTGTTGTGTCACCCAAAACCACCCAAAAGGAGAAAAAAAATGTCTTGGATGTAATTTGAACTTGTTTTGAGAGTTGGATCTGGTTTTTGGAGATGAAGAACAAAACGAAACATTGAAACCAGGGAAAAATTGTGCTTGAAATAAACCTTCTCATTTTTTACTATAGCAACATGTCATTGCACATTCTGTGTGAAATTGTGGATTGCCAACTTGACGAGTATTTTAGCCATACTACATATTTTGGCATATGATTCTGTTTTGTTGGTTGCCACATGTTAAGCACATATGTGAAATTGATTGTGTCATCCACTTGGTGTTTTAATAATGCAGCACTGTCTAGAGTATTGCTGCTTATGTAACTGTAAAATAATCCTTGTGTGGTCACTTAATGCTTGCAAATGTGTCGTTTTTTTTCCATGATGGGAAACCTGAATTTCATTACCATAAGCAACGAAATTCCAGCAAAGATTACCCGAATTTTCACCTAATGCTTGCAAATATGTGTCAGGTAAGGAGTTTGAAACCTTTGCAAAGGTGATTGTTAATGCAGCTGGACCATTCTGTGACTCTGTGAGGAAGATGGCTAACAGTAACGTAGCACCTATGATCTGTCCTAGTAGTGGAGTGCACATTGTACTTCCTGATTACTACTCCCCTGAAGGGATGGGGCTAATTGTCCCTAAAACCAAGGATGGCAGAGTTGTATTTATGTTACCATGGTTAGGAAGGACCGTTGCGGGAACAACTGATTCTAGCACAGCAATAACAATGCTTCCTGAACCACATGAGGATGAAATACAGTTCATATTGGATGCAATCTCTGACTATCTTAATGTTCAGGTGTGTTTGCATATATGCTATCCTTTTCTTTACATGCTAAAGTAATGTTGTAAAGTTCTTTTGTTATTGTAGTGTTGTTTCACATATTTTCATCTTGTATTTGTTTGCAAAACTGGAGATGGAGGAACATTTTAGTTGCTAGTTTAAACTCGTTTCAGTTTTGTGCTTTATGAAGCCAAAACACATCGTAGTTTGTTGAGTTTACTGCACGAATGTGGGTGGCAGTCCACTTTAAGTATTATGAGGATGCTGCATCACTATGCTAGTATGTTCTACCTTGCTCTGTCTCCACATGTTAGATTACTAAAGAGCTCTTCTATCGGATGCTTCTAGAAGGGAAGTTAATTTGGCAATCTACATGTTATGAAATCCTACATTCTATATCAACCTCCACAGCTACTTAGTATTCTGTTTAATGAACCATTTTTTAGAGGAAGAAAAAGCATTTAATGATCCCTTTGTTGCTGTACTGTTTGAGAAAAAAGGCTGTTGCTAATTACTAACCATGTATGTCAACATGCTGTATAAGTACTGGTTAGCCTCTTTGGAATCCAATGGGATCAAATGGTTACATAGTTTAAATCTTCTTTTATAGTGATGATCTACTTTTAACCTCCATTTGAAGTGCGTCCATAATCTACTGTGTATTCTTTTTAGTTTCATACTAAAAAGTATTTTGTGAGACTGTAATTAGAATCATATTTTCCAACACAAATGGAGAAATATTGACTGTACAAATATAACTTTAATGTCTTCATTCATCAGGTAAGGCGTTCAGATGTTCTTTCTGCCTGGAGTGGTATACGTCCTTTGGCTACGGATCCATCAGCAAAGAATACTGAGAGTATTTCTCGAGATCATGTTGTATTTGAAGACTACCCCGGGCTAATAACAATTACTGGTGGAAAATGGACAACCTATAGGAGGTAAGGCCTACATAATTGCTACTATAATTTATATTTATTGGTAGAATTGATAGGATGAAACTGGCTTGACTTGGTCAAGCATTCAGCATTGCCAATTTACTTATTACTGGTGGAAAATGGACAACCTATAGGAGGTAAGGCCTACATAATTGCTACTATAATTTATATTTATTGGTAGAATTGATAGGATGAAACTGGCTTGACTTGGTCAAGCATTCAGCATTGCCAATTTACTTATTGGGCCTATCTATTTTTTTTTAAACGAAAAGTGTTGTGGACACATTTGTAGGCGAGAAACGTATGTGTGCCACTAGAAGTATTAAGTTGCATGCACCGACCAGTTCAACCCAAAAGCTTAAGCTGATGGGGAGAGGTGGGCAATTCACTTATATTCCAACACTCTCCCTCACGTGGAGGCTCCCTCAGGCCTCAGACGTGGAATAGGAGTAAGCAACAATTATTTTAAGTAATTGCGCTAACCAGGATTCAAACTCGAGACCTCTAGCTTTGATACCATATTAAGCTGCATGCACCGACCAGTTCAACCCAAAAGCTTAAGCTGATGGGTATATTCCAACAAGGAACTGGCATTCACAAGTGGCTAGTTAAGTTGTTAGAGTTTGTTTCAGATTAGTTGTGAGAGGATAAGTAGCAAGTTTGTTAGCACCATCTCTACTTATAGAGTTTGACAAATTGATTGTAATCAAGCAAAAATAATGAACGTAAGAACTCAGAACCTCTTCTTGAGGGCAAGTGCAGCATATCTCTGCCTCTATCACTCCCTAGCCCAGCCAACTACCAATCTAGACATGTCAAAAAGTTAAGATATGTCTACAGCTACAATTATGATGACTGCATTGTCATATACAGATGGAAATTATGATTTATGAAAATGAGTAGAGCCTGACTATCTAGCAGAAACAAGGCTGCTTCATGTTTTTTTGTAAGAAAATATTTTTTTTTCTCTCGAACAACGCTGGAGAGCTGCGTGTCATTTCATTAAGGTAGAAAAAAACACAAGTACAAAGAGTTAGGCAAAAAGCTGAACCCGAACATGAACGCACATCCACAACCAAACAACCCCCCAGAGGAAAAGACTCTACAAAAAAATAGAAAAGCCCTGACCAAGGACCACCCGGAAAACTAGAGAACTATGAAGCTGGTGACCCAGCGAGGAGGGCCTGGAGCTTGGAAGCACCAGCCCAGCACCATATGGTGCTCTCAACAACCACTGTTTGCAGGAGAGCCTGAAGGTTTGACTGCAATCCTTCAAGCACACATGAGTTTTGATGCTTCCAAATCTCCCAAGCCACAAGAATGATAAGGGAGTTTAGCCCTTTCTGTGTCTCCTTTGGCACCCCTCTGATCACACTCCACCAGCTAGAGAAACTTGTCCTTAACACAGGTGCTACAACAGCCAGATTTAGTCATTGTAAACAGAAAAACCAAACCTGCCGAGAGAAAACACATGGGTCTAGCAAATGCTGGATTGTTTCCTCAGCTTGGTCACAGAACGGGCAGGCAGTTGGATGAGGCAATCCCCGCTTGGCTAGCTGGTCTGCAGTCCAACATCTGTTGTTGAAAGCCAACCACAAGAAGTATTTGCAGTGCAAAGGGGCCCAACTCTTCCAGATTCTCCTCCAAGGGGTGAACTTGATGGTTCCAACAAAGAATGCGGCGTAAGCTGACTTGCTGCTGTAGACCCTGGATTGGGTTAGCTTCCAACGATGCTGATCAGGGACACCTGAGTGTAGAATTAGGCTATCCACCAAGTCCCATACCAGCAGGTACTCCACCACTACCTGAACTGTTAGGGCCCCTTTGATATCACACACCCAATTCCTACTTTGGAGTGCCTGAACAACAGTCCGAGCTTTGACTCCCCTTCTTGGGATTGCCCGAATAAGAAAATAAATTACCATCTAGCTATCATATGCTCGCGGGCAGTGCCTATATTAGTCTCTGCCATTTCCATGGTGCCTAGCCAAACTCTGCCCTGCTTGTATTGCACCTCCACTGTTTTGTTCATCTGCATTGTGCCTAGCATAAATTGCACCTTATTTAACTCATGATCTGGGTGCCTTGGGAGGGGTTTGCTGGTGTGGAACAGTCCCATCCGCTCATGGCTGCAGGAAATCGTGAGAAAATGAAGGGAGGATGATGATGAGTCAATGAGAAAGATTTGGCAAGCGGGGATTAGCTGATACAATATTAGAATTTTGCTAAGAATTACTTGTTTCCCTCCATTTTTTTGGGTTACTTTAGAGTGGTGATTGTTGAAAGACAATGGGGAAACACGAGTGAACTATGCAGACACTGCCACCAAATCTAACTTTGAAGTAGCATAGCATATATAATATATATTACTATCAGAGTGTCATGTAATTTACTGGCAGTACTTCATTTTAGTTTGACTGTCAGCGCTGCTTAAGGCAAAACCACATGGGTTGTCTTTTGCTATTAGGATATATTTTCCCTTAGCCCCTTACACAAAAGATCCTCTGTGGTGCACTACAAGTTATTCCATTGTTGAATTCTAATGAGCTTGTTTGTTCAGTATGGCTGAAGATGCTGTAAATGCAGCAGTCAGGTCTGGGAATTTGAAACCAGCTAATGGTTGTGTGACCGATAATTTGCATATTGTTGGTGGATATGGATGGGATCCTGCTTCTTTTACAGTTCTTGCTCAGAATTATAAGCGAATGAAAAAGACATATGGTGGCAAGGTTATTCCAGGTGCAATGGACAGTGCTGTATCGAAACATTTGTCACAAGCATATGGAACTTTGGCTGAACAAGTGGCTACTATTGCCCAGGTGTGTTCTCCTTTGACTCCGGTAGCGCTATTTATGTGAACTCTGTTCTAGTAGGATGGAAAAGAAAAATAAAGATCTTGCTTCAATTTGTCTTTGCATTTGTTGGGGGAGTAAAATGTTATATGCATGGTTTTCAAGGCGCCACCTAGGCAATGAGGTGTGCTGGGACTCTGGGCATCCCAGTTACCGTGACAAAAAGTTCAGCAAAAGAGAGTTAGGGAGAGAGAAGAGATGAACAGGAGAGGAGCTGGTCAGCAGGCCAACAACCTGCAGCCGCTGCCATACTAGCTGGCTCTGAGCCACAGAACTTGCTTTGGTCAGCTGTGGCAGTCAATCTGGAAAGGGGTGTCAGCAGCGGTCGGTTTGAGGGAACAGAGCAGTTAGGTAAGGGAAGGAACAGGGAGAAGTTGCGGGCGGTAGTAGCACATCTGGTGAATGAGCAGGAAGCAAGAGGCACCAAGATGGGGAGGGGAGAGGGAGGGGAAGGTTGCAGGCGGGAGCACTGATCTGTCAAACGAGTGGCAAGCGAGAGGCAATGAGAGAAATAGAGGGAGGGGAGGGAGGGAGAAAGGGAGTGGTAGATTATGCTAGGGGACGGGGTATAGGGGCTGCACCAGCCCCCTTCTTACTCCTTTTTTATGTTCCCTGTTCCTCCTCCATGCTGCTTTTTTGCAGTTTCTTATATTGGTATGGCGTCGTTTTGCCTCGTCTTATAAGTGCCTTGGTATCGACTAGGTGATTGAAAGAGGCTGGCTTGCCACGCCTCGTGTTACCACCTTAAGAACCAGTGGTCTGCGTAAGCTTATTAAGTATGACTGATTGGAATAATGATGCACTGCAGTTTATTTGTAGTTTCTTTTGAAACCAAAAACTTATTTTCTTCCCTGAGTTAATGGATTATTTATAATTGAATATATAATTAGCAAACCATGAATTTTGTAACATCTTGAGGATGGAATAACATGTCAAATTTGAATCAGTTTTGGCCTTTGGAAGAAAAGTTGTTCACCAAAGCGAACAATAATGTTTGTAAATATAGTTTATAGGATAAGAACCCATCATGTTGTACCATTTCAAAATCAATTGCCAGATTTTTGGATCAAGATATATGTGTTCAGTGGTGGGATCGCATAGTTGCTCTGTTTCTTTTTTGCATAGATATGCATAAATGTTTGTGTGAAAAGGTCACAGGTGACAAGGTAACCTTCAGATCCCCAGCAGTGGGGTGTTTTCTAGTTTATTTGTTGTCGCCTTTCTG